CTTAAGCGATCCTCCCGCCTTGGCCTCCCAGAGTGCTAGGATTACAGGCGTGAGCCGCTGCACCCAGCCACTGCCAATATTATTGATAACAGTAACTACCTGTACAGTCATTGAATGACCTTTACGATTTCTTTGCAGTGTTCTGGTCCTTAGAGTATATTCTACTAAGGGTGTACAAAGTACTATGTTTTGCAGTACTTGAAATAGTTACATTACCAATTTGATATGCAGTGATGTTAATTTTAGTGCATTGTAAGTTTTAGGATTAATTTTTTTTGAGACAGTCTCATTCGGTCTCCCCAGGTAGGGTGTGGTGGCGTCGTTACAGCTCACTACAACCTCAAACTCCTGGGCTCAAGTGATCCTCTTGCCTCTGAGCCTCCTGAGTAGCTGGGACTACAGGTGCCACCACCACGCCTGGCTAATTTTTTCTGTTTTTAGTAGAGACGGGGTCTCACTCTTGCTTAGGGCAGTCGCAAACTCCTGACTTCGAGCAGTCCTCCCGCCTCGGCCTCCCAGAATGCTAGGATTACAGGTGTGAGCCACTGCACCCGGCCTATTTTATTTTTTGATCATGTAAAATATTTACATGCTTTAAAAGTAAAAATTACATGACAAGATCCTCCTAAGAAAAAATCTTGCTTTTGTCCATGTTCTCTGCATTTTATCACCCGTCGTCTTAGTCCATTTTGGCTGCTACACCGTGAGGCTTATAAACAGCAGAAATTTATTTCTCCCAGTTGCAGCCTTTCCTCAGGCTGTTAGTCCCGAGGTGCAGGCACTGGCAGATGGGGTGTCAGGGGGCCTGCTTCCTGGCTCCTAGCCAGCGCCTTGTTCCCGTGTGCCCATGTGGTGGGAGGGGTGAGGCAGTTCTTTGGGTTCCCTTTTGTAAGGGCATGATCCTGCTCATGGGGGCTTTGCCCTCCAGGCCTAATCTCCTCCCCACAGCTCCACCTCCCATCACTGTCACCTTCTGACCACAGCACCTGCCCCACCGAAACAGGCAACATTTGTAGAAATATAGGAAAAATACTGATGCATATTTCTTATTTCCTTTCTTTTTGTACACAGTGTGGTATGATATAGCGTGTGTATGTGTGTGCAGTACCACCCCCTACAATTCTCACTGGACAGTATATGTGGAAGTCAGGACCAGCAGTGCCCGGGTCACGGACGACCTGACTCATGGCGTTCCGTGCTTACGAACAAGCTCCCCTGCCTCCCCATGAGGGTGTTTTATAACCAAATAATTAAATTGGTAATTCAGGGACTAGTTTCTTCTGCACGTGTAAAAACAAACGCGCATGGCATGAGTGGTTCGTGGGTGCAGTGACCAGTCCCATTGTTCCCGTGTTGCCTGCACACAGCGTCACTTTTGTGGAAGAGAGTCTGTGTCTGCCCTGGGACCTGCCTCCAAAGCAGGAGTCCACGGCAAGTCCAGGTGAGCCTGCAGCAAAGAGAAAGGTGATTCCAGTGGAAACGAAAGTAGAAACAGTTAAGAGGTCAGAGGTGGCCAGATGCCACTGCTCACTGGGACAGCATCAGGCCTCAAGTCACCTGACTGTCGGACCAATTCTAAAGGATCAAGTGAGAATAACAAATTTGTGAAAGGCATGATCCACTGAAAGCATAAGTTATTAACCCACTGTGTGAAGTAGCACAGTTGGTTAATTATCGAAATGGAGAAATGGAAAGGTGGTTATTGATTTGGTTGGAAGGTCAAAATAGGCATAACATTTCTATTGGCCTAGAATCGGTATAATATTAGATGAATGTTAGCCTTTAACATTCTTTTTTTTTTTTTTTTGAGACAGAGTCTCACTCTGTTGCCCAGGCTAGAGTGAGTGCCGTGGCGTCAGCCTAGCTCACAGCAACCTCAACGTCCGGGGCTTACGCAATCCTCCTGCCTCAGCCTCCTGAGTAGCTGGGACTACAGGCATGCGCCACCGTGCCCGGCTAATTTTTTTGTATATATATTTTTAGTTGGTCAATTAATTTCTTTTTATTTTAGTAGAGACGGGGTCTCGCTTCGGCTGGTTTCGAACTCCTGACCTCGAGCAATCCGCCCACCTCAGCCTCCCAGAGTGCTAGGATTACAGGCGTGAGCCACCGCGCCCGGCCCTTTAACATTCTTTCTTGAAATTTCTCCTATCTCCTGTCTAAACCTTTTGTATGAGTTTGGTTTTGTGTTGTGTGTGTTTGAGTTGAAAGAAAGCGCGCAGTAGTTTCTGCACCGAGTTCTTGCAGAACAGTGGTGTCACGTTGAGCCAGTGGCACCGTTGTGGTCCCTGCGCATGTGCTTCTTTCTCTTCAGGGGTCGGAGCTACCTGCAAATCCGGCCTACAGGTGTTCTCAGCACCGTGTCTCATCCATAACCCGGGACTGGCGTGCATGTTACTAGTACACAGAAATCTTCCTTTCTTTGGGGGACATTGAGGTCAATTTCAGCCCTTGCTGTGTTTGCAAATAATGTCTCGATGAATAATCCTGCGCACAAGTCCTCTCGTTGGACCTTTTACTGCCATCACACGAGTCTCCGAGGTTCTGTCAGCCATCCAGTGACAGACTGAACAGCAAGCGGATTTTGATTTAGAATTTCCATTTGATTCTTTGTCTGTTTCTCTGCTGAAACTTCTCATTTCTCTGAGATTTTCATGCACTGAAGTGCTTTGTTTTACTTGGTTGAGGATAGCCTGAGCAGCTACTTTAAAAACACTCATCTGTTAGTCCAGTGTCTGGTTCGTGCCAGGACTGGGCTCAGTTGCTTTGCTTTTCTCTTTAGAATGTGTCCATTGTCTTGGTCTGTTGTAGTCGCATCATTTGGATTGTGAGTGTAGACTTGTGGGGAGTATTCTCCCTTATCTCCAACGTGCGTGTGTTGCTGTTGCTGACTTGGCCTCCACCGCAGGCGCTGCTGCCTCCCTGGTGGCTGCGTCCCCGTCCCAGTCGTCTGCCACTGCCAGCGTCACCCGTCTGTGTTCAGGTCTTTCCTGGCTCTTTGAGTCTGGGTCACGCCACCCGGAGGCTGGTGTTTGCAGACCGGGACGCCCCCTCTCCTCGGGAGCATCGAGGGTCCCTCCCGGGCTGTAGCCCCGAGTGCTCCGGCCAGACAGCCTTGGCTCTGCGGGAGCCCGAGCAGACGTGGCCCAGCTCCCGCTGCAGCTGGGAGCTCCCCCAGCGCCAGTCTTCGCTGCTCCCCAGGACCTCCACGTCTGTGCTGCTTCCGGTTTTAGGGTTGCTTTACTTAGGGGAGCTCCTCCCACCCTAAAGCAGAGACCAGAAGCCCCCACGAGAGTCGCTTTGAATTTTTGAACCCTGAGAAGTGGGGTTGCCGAGTCTTCAGTGGTGGCGCCCGGTGGTGTCTGAGGGGTGTTGATGGAAGGCGTGTGTCTGTGCCTACATGGCTGACGTGCCCGGGCTCTCCGGGCTCCGTGCTCTTGTCTGTGGAGTTGTCAGAGAGCTGCCAGGCGTCACCCTCCCTCTGCTGGTTTGGGTTCTTAACTTCCCTACCTGTGAAGACCCTTTGGCCTCCAGTTAGTGCTCTGATGCCGTGGCGGGTGTCCATGGAGCAGCTCTGCCTGCAGGCCTCCCTCCGTGGACTGTGATCCTGGAGCGTCTCGTCCTGTGCCTCATTTCCAGCTCACCTGCCTGTTCTCTCCAAGACATAGCGCTTGTTTCTGTTGCCGAGCACAGATCTCACTGTAAATGTGACAGCTCGAGACACCTGCCCGGTACCTCCTGCTGTGCAGGTGTGTCCGGAGTGGCCTGGTGACACCCCACTGGGCGGCTCTGGTGGCCAGGGCCACCCGCTCCTCCCCACACAGCCCCATTCCAGGCTGGCAGTAGCTTCTCGAACTCTGGGTCTCTCCAGAGAGAACTTAAAGGGCTCCTGTGGTCACGTCAGGCCCACCTACCCAGTCTCCCAGTCTGTCAGCTTGGAACCCTCCTGTGGTGTCACGGAAGCTCAGGAGTAATGCCACTAGGGCCACGGCAGAGGTCACAGGTGCTGAGACGCCTGGGCTCCTCTCTCTTCTCTCTCCCACTGGGTTAGCAGGACCCCTTACTCTGGCATTGTGGACCCAGTGCTTTGTGGCCAGAGGGCCATTCTGACTACCCAACCCCAACCCAGGGCAGCCTCTGTCCAGCTTTGCCCTCCCCATGTCCCTCACCCTTCCCTCTACTCTGCCCCACCACCACCCTTCCCTTTCCTGACTCCGCCCTCACCCCCTCCCTCCATTCTGCTCCGCCCCCACCCTCCTTCCCCCTGACTATGCCCCATCCCCTGCCTCCACTCTGCCCCACCCCACCCCTCTCCTGACTTCCCCCTCCCCCCTCCTCCTCCCTCCACTCTGCCCCGCCCCCACCCTCTCTCCCCTGACTCCGCCCCCACCTCTCTCCCCTGACTCCGCCCCTACCCCTCACCCCTCTTCCTCCCTCCACTCTGCTCCGCCCCTACCCTCTCTCCTGACTCCGCCCTCCTCCCTCCACTCTGCTCCGCCCCCGCCCTCTCTCCCCTGACTCCGCCCCCATCTCCTCCCTTCACCCTTCCCCCCCATCCCCCCTCGCCCTGACTCTAACCTGGCACCCTGAGTCTCCCTGCCCTGAGAACGCAGCTCTTCTACTTTTGCCACCAAGTCTCTGAGGAGCTGCCCTGCCCCGTGGTCCTCACCAGACAGTGGCCCGGACGCCAGCTCCACCCTGCGGGGCCCCGGGGCCCTGTGGGTCTTGCGCGGCCTCCCTTGTCCCGATGCCCAGTGGCCAGAGGCGTGGTCTGGGTGCTACCTCTGTTATAGTTCGTCTTGGAGGTGCCCCCGCCCCACCGCGGCTGGAGGTTGTCTCGAGACCCCACGGCCGAGCCCCGGAGGAGAGGCAGGCCCTGGTGGCGCTGCAGGGCACAGGAGCGGGTGGCGGGTGGCGGGGTGCAGATGGGGCGGGGCAGGAGCTGGTCACCTGCGGCCACCTGGCCCGGCCCTCAGCCCGTGCGTGCTGTCTGCCCGCAGGACGGCGAGGTGTACTGCATCGATGCGCGCTTCTACGGCAACGTGAGCCGCTTCATCAACCACCACTGCGAGCCCAACCTGGTGCCCGTGCGCGTGTTCATGTCCCACCAGGACCTACGCTTCCCCAGGATCGCCTTCTTCAGCACGCGCCTTATCGAGGCCGGGGAGCAGCTGGGGTACGTGGGCGACGGCCGGGTAGGAGGGTGGGGTCGTGTGCGCTGCTGCTCACACGTCCGGACAGTGACGGTCGCAGGGAGGCCTTAGCCTCGGCGTGGTGTGTCTGCGCCTTGCTGGTGCAACCGAGCTCTGCTCTCTCCCCAGGTTCGACTATGGGGAGCGCTTCTGGGACATCAAGGGCAAGCTCTTCAGCTGCCGCTGCGGCTCCCCCAAGTGCCGGCACTCAAGCGCGGCCCTGGCCCAGCGGCAGGCCAGCGCGGCCCAGGAGGCGCAGGAGAACGGCCTGCCGGACACCAGCTCCGCCGCTGCCGCCGACCCTCTATGAGACGCCGGGGCGGCGGGGTGCTCAGGACCAGACGCTGCCGGCATCGCGGTTTGGAGAGGAGGAGAGATTCTGCACCTGGCGCCGGAGGTCCTGGTTAGGGGCTGTGCCGCTGGTTCCTGGAGGGCTCAGGGGTGAGGCGGCAAGTCCCAGGCGCAGCGGCCTGCGGCGGGTGTGGACACCTCCCAGCAGCCTCCCACACCTGAGGCCTCACACCTGGGCCAGTGTTCAGCCTGGACGGACGCCTGGGACTGCCGTGCGCCTCGGAAGGCGCTGGGATTCCACGTCGGCGTGACCTTGTGAGTCTCTGATGGTGGCTTTGTTGTTGCAGAGTTCCTTGTTCCTCCCTCTGGTCTCTGAGGTCCCTGCTCCGCCACCGGCTGGCTCGTTCCCCGTCTGGACCAGACTGTTCTGCGTGGCGCCTGCCAAAGCCGCCGTCACCGCAAGCTGCTCCGTTAGGCCACCTGCCCACACCGCGCGGCGGGTGCCGTTCCTGGACACCGCGCAGAGGTCGCCCTCTGCCGCCACCGCCTTGGGGAGGTCAGGGGCCGAGCCCACCGCTAACTCTGGAGAAAATGTGGGTTTGCGTTTTACAGGAACCCTATATCTAGTCCTATATATCAAACCTCTAACTGACGTTTCTTTTCAAGGAAGTGGTTTGGTGGGTGCCGGCGGGTGCCGCACCAGCCCGCGCCAGTTCCCTCGACGCTGGCACCTTCTGTTGATTTTTTTAAGCCACATGCTATGATGACGCATAAACTGATTTATTTTCTACCATTACTGAACATTAGGACAAACAAAAAATAAAAAAACACAAAACACAGACAACGGTGCTGATTCTGGTGTGGTTTCTACTCACCACGTGAATATAAACTGTCAACTGTATAAAGAGAACAAAGTGATTTTAGAATAAAACGCAGGAAAAAACTTTTTTTAAAATATTAGTCTTGTAGTGTGAATAAATTTGCCATCACCTTTTGTGTGGTGGCCAGGCAGGTCATACTCTTTTTTTTGGCATATACCTTTTTAAATACTGTAACTAGTGCAGTGACAGTGGGTTTTTTTGTGCGACTCTTCTAAAACATTCATAATGCAGCCATGTTTATTTTTTTCTGTTAAGATGTTTTGACGGTTTTAAGAGCAATCTTTTGGCTCCGACCATTTCTTGTTCTGTTTTCAATGAAATCAATAAAAAAAAAGAAGTACTTTACACGAGGCTTTTATTATGGCCCCATGATTCCGCTGGTCTCTCCAGAACACCCGTGCCTCCCGTGGGGTGCCGTGCCCACGGGTCACACGCAGGCCCCGCGACCAGCGGGCAAGGCCAGGTCTCCCCACGTCCAGGTGCAGCTTCCTGTCACCCCAGCTGGCACCCTGAAGAGAGGAGGCCCCAGGCAGGTGTTGTTAGAGCCTGTGGATGTCTTGAGTGTGTGTGTGTCCATGTGAATGCATGTGTGTGCACACGTTAGTACATGTGTGCACATGTGCTTGTGAGCCCGTGGCTGAGTGAGTGCATGTGTACGTGTGTGCATTTGATTGCATCTCTATTGAGTTCATGTGTGTGCTTGAGTGCATGGATGAGCGTCCATGTGTGTGAGTGCATGTGTGTTCATGTGTATGTCCGTGTGAGTGTGTGTGCACGTGTGAAAGTGTGTGTCTAGCGCCAGGTGCTCAGGTCTGGGCGTCATCCTGGAAGCTGGTGGGGCAGCTCCAGGTGAGTCCCCACGTCCCAGGTCAGCTCTGCGACTCGTGCAGGGAGGCCGGGCCCTTCCCTCCTTCCTGGCAACCCATGACCTCTGCCCCTCCGTAGGGACCTGCCACCTGCTGTATTCTCCGTGTTGGGCTGGCCTCTCCACAGGAGAGCTTGTAAACTCAACAAAAAATAGCTGAAACGCTCTGTTTTAATACATAGAATTCATTCAGTTAGCTGTTTTTAGACACTTCCCTGGAATGATAACGGGAGTCTCGCACTTTGTGAATAGGAGGCCCAAGCTGGGCGCCCTCCACACGGCGTGCTGACAGGTGGGCGACCTGAGGCACTAGGCAGCTGCAGAGGGATGAGCAGGGGGCCCAGGGCAGGTGCAGGGCCCCAGGTCTGGGGCCCAGGTCTGCGCAGGGCCTCGGGGAGGCCACTGTGACCACTGGCGCCTTAGCACGTAGGGGCTGCTGGCCTTTCCGTCCTGGTGCACGAGGAGCCCAGAGCCAGGAGGGCTGGGGAAGTGGGGCCAACGGCTCGCCTCATGCACGCCTGGAGCTAGAATGTGAGGCACTGCCAGCCCGCCAGCCCCGGGGGAGGGGACAGCAGGCACAGCCCCTCTCCAGCCCCTCAGGACAGTGCTGGCTGGCAGGCGACCACAGGTTTGCATCTTGGAGGTCACCTGTCCTGTCTCATGCGCTGGGCCAGGTGTTGGGTGCACCCACAGTATTTGTTGCATGAGGCCAGTCGCAAATCTATGGAGTGACGGGAAAGCCAGCCATGGTGGCCCCCACTGCTGCGCCCCCCAGGACCCTGACTCACCTGGTCCTGGACGGCTTCACAGTGACCACCGCCCCTTCCTCGTCAGACTCCGGGGGTGTCTCTGCTCCAGCAGTGTGGCATCTGCGACGAGCGTCTGGGGGGGGTCTCGGGGGCCACGGCTTTGAGCAAGGACGAGGGCTCCAGGTGTGGAAACTACAGGTGGGAGCCCTGCAGGGCCTGGGGCTGCTGGGCGGGGCCTTCCCTCCCCTGTCTACGTGTCTTTCTCCCTTCTTTGGGTAAATTAAAATCTAAAACCCACGGAGGCTCATTCTCAAGTTCCTGTAACAGTGGGAACCTTTCACCTGGACAAGGCTGTGAATACAGGCTCCTTATTTCCGGAAGGTTCTCAGCCCATCTGAGCAGAGAGCACCCCACGTCCTTGTCTTGGGCCAGGTTGTGGTCTGTGAAGGATAAGTGGGCTTGGGGGTCAGGTGGGGCGGCCTGAGCCCATTGGGGTGGGGATCTGCCTAACCTGGACACCCAGTGACCAGGGCTCCGATGGGACCCAGCCAGGGGAGGCCAGGGGTGCGGCGCCCCCTCACGACGCCCCCTTGTGCCCCAGCTCCCAGCACACCCAGAGCAGGCTTGGGGGGCCCTGGGCCTCCTGTGCAGCACCCCCTTTTACTCGAGCAGCATGTGGGTGGCACGGTCTCCAAGGTCAGGGGATGGGGCCCAGCCGAAGGCCAGGCTCTGCTGGTCCTGGGAGCATGCGCTTGGGGACTCCGGCAAGGGCAGTGGGGCAGCCGGCCGTGTCTAGGCCTCAGTTCCCCTCGCTTAGGAGCACCGTGCTCCAGGCCTGAGCAGGCTCAGGCTCTCACCAGAGGGCAGCCGCCAAAACATGGCTGGTGTGCGAGCAGCAGCCACCCGGCCACACGGGGCTGCCAGTATTTCTATGCAAGCCACGCCTGTTCATTGCCCAAAGCTCAGCACATAAGAACTGGAAAGAGAAAATGACACCCGCCAGGAATCCCCCTCCTCGGCCTCCCCTGCACCCTTCCTGGGTGACGCACCACATCTGGCAGAGCGTCCACAGGCAGGCCCTGCAGCCTGCGCGTTTGCTCAGAAAAGAGATTCACACCTGGCTCTAGCAGGCGCGCCGTACTGCTCCCAACACCTGCACCGCAGCAAAAGCCTCTCTTGACGTCCCTGTTTCGCCTTTTCTTTACGGAAATGATGCCGTCAAGAAGGACCCAGCACGGCGTCTCTTTCCACTTGCGCAATTACCTTCTTAGGGAAGGGGTCAGGTGCACACCCTGCCTCTGGGCTCTGTTACCAAATGCATGCCGGTGTTCACGTCTCGCGACAGTCTACATTTCCCCACATCCTGCACTCAGAACATTGTCGTGCTGCTTGCTTTTTGTAATTGTCTAGAGGAAAAATTATACTTTGATGTGTTATTTCGAAATTTTATTATTGATAAAGCTGAGTGTCTCTATTTATTACAGATTGGCTTTTCGTCTTACACGAATTGCCTTTGTGCAAAAATTCTATTGTGCTGCTTGTGTTTTTCTTGTTGATTTCTATGAGCTCTTTATATATTGCAGTTTTACATGTATGCTGAATTTACAATTTTCATGTGGCAAAATCTGTCCTGTGACTTCTGATTATTATAATTAGAAAGGCCTTCTGCATCTCTAGATTATATATATATATATATAAAAAAGTCCTCCAGCACTGGTTCTAGTATTTTATTAAGTTTAGCTCTTAAATCCAGGTGGAATGTGTGTGTTGTGTATGGTGTGAAATACAGATTTCTTTTTTTGAGGCATCGTTTACATAGAATAAAATACGGATCCTGTAAGCACAGCCCAGTATGCTTTGACAAATGCCTTTGCCCCATAATCCACCATTTACCAAGATACAGAATGTTTCCATCCCCCAGGAAACGTCTGCTCCTTCCCAGTCAGTGCCTGCCCGCATACACCCCCCCCGCCTGATTTCTGTCACCGTAAGTTAGTTTTGCCTGTTCTAGAATGTCATGCAGTATATACGGAACCCTGCAACCATGCCATAGGCCTCTCCTTCTTTTCCTGCCTTCTCTTGCTCAGCGGCTTCTGCTCTCGTTTTGTGAAGCGTTGGTACATTAGTCCTTTATATTTTATTTTATTTTATTTTATTTTTTTGAGACAGAATCTCCCTCTGTTACCTGGACTAGAGTGCCGTGGCGTCAGCCTTGCTCACAGCAACCTCAAACTCCTGAGCTCAAGCAATCCTCCTGTGTCAGCCTCCCGAGTAGCTGGGACTACAGGCATGCGCCACCACGCCTGGATAACTTTTCCTATATATTTTTAGCTGGCCAATTAATTTCTTTCTGTTTTTAGTAGAGACGGGGGTCTCGCTCTTGCTCAGGCTGGTTTCGAACCTTGACCTTGAGCGATCCTCCTGCCTCGGCCTCCCAGAATGCTAGGATTACAGACGTGAGCCACCACGCCTGCCAACTGTCCTTTTTTATAAATCACTAAGAGAATTCCGTGCTAGGAACATACAAAATTTGTTTGACCATTCTCTTATGCATATATGTTTGGGTTATTTCCAATTTGGAGCTGTCCATCAATAAAGCTAGCTGTGGAAATAACTTGTAACAGGCTATTCTGTGTGAGACTGGTCTTGGGTTGTCAAGGGTAAAATATATATTCTAAGAAACAGACTGCTGAATCACATGGTAAGCCACAGTGGGGCTGGTGGCTGGCAAACGTGGCCCTCGTTTACGCTGGTCAGCATGGGCAACATCTCCCTCACAGCCTCATCGAAACAGTGAGTATCTGTCGTGGTATCCGTTCCAGTTACAGCCAAGTGGCAATGTTGTCTTTATCACCTTTTTTTTTTCTTTTTTTTTGTTGAAGACAGAGGTCTCTACTGTTGTTGCCTGGGGCTAGAGTGCGTGGTGTCAGCCTAGCTCACAGCAACTCAAAAATCCGCGGGCTGGGTTCAAGGATCCTCCTGCCTCAGCCTCCCGAGTAGCTGGGACTACAGGCATGCACACACCATGCCCAGATAATTTTTAATGTATGTTTTTAGTTGTCCAGTTAATTTCTTTCTTATTTTTAGTTGAGATGGGGTCTCGCTCAGGCTGGTTTCGAACTCCTGACCTTGAGCCATCCGCCCGCATCGGCCTCCCGAGTACTAGGATTATAGGTGTGAGCCACCGCGCCTGGTCTATCATCTTTTTTAATTAAGACTTTCTTTACCCAAAGGTATCTTTGAAATAACGCTTTAGAAGGAAACAGGAATGTATCTTTTCAACTTGGGAAGATGCTCTTTTTCTCTAAAGCGTTACAGTTTTAGGTTTGGGGTCTGTATGTGATCCAGCTAGATATATTTTTGTGAGTGGGGTGGAGTAGAGGTCAGGAGGTCCTTTTCCGTGTGGATGTCCAGTCATTCCAGCCTCATCTGTTAAGCTACCTGTTAGAGACTTTTCCCCAGTTGAACTAAACAGGCTCCTTTATAGAACGTCATCAGTACGTGCCTGTGGACTTGTACAAAATCTGCGCTGTTCTGTTCTATTCTCTGTTGTCTGTCCTTGCGTCAGTATCTGGACTATGTTGTACCTTCAGTCTGTTGTCTGTCTGTATGTCAATTTCATACTGTCTTTTTTTTTTTTTTGAGACAGAGTCTCACTTTGTTGCCCAGTCTAGAGTGAGTTGCCAAATGGGGTTCAGCC